CAACTTTCTCCCTAGTGCTCATAAATCGCTCCATCTTGCTTTCAATTTCCATATTCCAATCCAGCCTAAACTCATCTTTTTAGTGGTGGTCTGTTGGGTGCGTGTAATCTGTAGCCAGCATGGAAACATTATACTGTTCCCGTTCTGTTAGTGCTCGTATAACAATAGCTGTCACGTAAAGTCACGTTTGAGTAGCGCCCATTAATTTAACTGCTCCCCAATCGCTTATGGAAGTCGGCACACCGGTTGCCATCCTCTCATTAAACAAGGATTGGGGATGTCTGATGGGGCTGGGGGGCGGTTGCGCAGATAAACTGCATGAACGACTACAATCTGCTTTAAAATTTGCCTAACCTCTCTTCTTCTTTCTCAATATGTGCGGAAACACGATTGATGACGGTGCATGTTTTCGGCATCGTAATGGCGTTGTGGATGAGTATCTTATTCAGCTGTTGCACGCCATCACTCCTTCCTATCGGTTGCCCCACCTGGGGTGAAGCGGAGAAAACAAATGTTCTGTTTGTATTGTGACTTGTGCACTGGAGAAGGCGTTTGGCTTGATCGGTCTAGTCTTTCTGTAACGAGGCGAAAAGTAAACGCCAAGTTCTATAAACTCGCCTGTTGTTGCCACCTACAGTTCCGTTAACTCAGTTTTATAGTTGTCCCTATTGTCTTGTACAAACAACCAACTGTTGCGGGCCATGAGGCTCACGTTTAATTCACTGAGTGGATGCATCCGTTTTCTGCACAAGACCTTGTTTTTAATGAAGTAGACTTGCAGTACACCTGCGACACACTAATCTCCCACCCACTGCGTTCCGAGGGCAACACAAAGTCAAAACGACCTGAGATGGGCTGTACTGTGGTGGCTAACGAAACTAAACAAGCCTTCCGCACCGACAGCACGCAATCTAGCCTCTTGCTTTACGCATATCGCCCTCATTAAAGAGCTCTCTCGAATCTCACATTATCGGCCGTACCATAAACGCCAAATAAACAAGGAATCGCTGCAACCCAAATCTCGGTCCTTACTATGCCGAACCATACCGTCATTTGGCTACATTCCAAGTTATCGTTGATAGTGTGCTACTGGTTTCTAAGCGCGTTTTGTTCCTTCCAGTCAGAAACCTAAGCGCTGGATCCATGTTTGGATCAACCCACCTCTGCCTCGTCTGCGGTACAGCAGTGGCCTGCCTGACCCAAGCCGACCGGGCATGTGCT